CGGGGATGATTGGAAAAAAATGGGGGACGAAGAGGGTGCGGCTCCCCCAGCCAATGGACGTCTCGAGGCACGGGGGGTTGCTTGAAAAGTCGGACTGCTAGGAGGCTGCTGTCGGGACGAAGAACTAGGCGATGAAGTTGAATTTTTAGAGGAGCGACCACTCCGTCTTTGTGTTGGTGATGACATGGTGGATATGAATTATTGTGCTGATACCAGACGATGATCAGGTGGGTTGGTGGTCTATGGGATACAAGTGAAGAAAGGGAGAGCAAAAAGCTGTGGGCGGAACGCGGTTTCTGCCACCGTGGACGCGACCGACGCTCTAAGTGGTTTCCCCTTTCGGCCGACGTGTTTTAACGCCAGCCACATGGAGTTCCTGACCCTGTGGCTGGTGGACTTTGAGAATTACATAAATGCACTGCCACATCAGTGGACCTTCAACTCAGGGGCCAATCACCGCTCTTTCCCTTTTTTTCTCTCCACTAAAAGCTTCAATACTACTGTAGTAGGGGTCTCGCAATGTTATCCAGTATCAACGTTGTTATAGTTGGGAAAAAAGGAGCTATTCCTTGTTATAAATATAGATCAAATTCCGAGGCGCTCGGTTACACAAAGCAATCTTTGTTCTCCTTCCACTAGAATCTATCTAAAGCTGCCGTGACTTCTTTGGGCTGTTTCACTTAGCGCCTGATGTCATTGTATCCTCGATCGGCGCTCCCACGATCCCTCCAATCATCCCTGTTCGTCAACGTCTTAATTTCTTGATATCATACCGCCAGCTCAGTCCTCGCGCCACTCACCTCATAAACCAAGATATTACTCAAAGACCAATTTCGACGTTATTGGCTCTCGTCCCCCACAGCTGATCAGGTTGGCGCCCTAGGTCTGCGCAAGTGGGTTTCTCTTTGTGATTTTTCTTCTCTTATCAGAGAGCTCCTTCTTATTCAACCCCTCAATCTACAGGCGATTACTTTCGACATCCATCAGTGCATACAACGACATATCGTGATGCTTCTTGCCGTGACATCTTCTTCGGTACCCCTATTAGCGTCCTAGTCCCCATTTCCCTCGGCAATACCCGAGCTGATCGTCATGACTTCGGGCTTGGAGGAGGCGCTGGAACACACTGGCGGCCACGGCCGAACCGCCGAAGGTGTCTCAATCTCGACCTTCCTGGCGTCGCTGGCGACGGCCATTGTCGTTTTCGTCGTTGAGTTTCTCCTCTTTCTGTTACTAAAAGGTAAACTAAGTCGTATATAGTAAGTCCCCTGAAACCCCACTGGAAAGGAGAACGTGGACGCTGGACTGACCGAAATTGATATCCAGTCAACCGCGAACCTATCTGGTACCAGATAGAGAACGCACAACCCCATCACCGCCAGGCCTCTTCCGTTGGATTGTCCCAGTCTTTCGTACATCCAGCTCGGAATTCATCCAGAAATGTGGGCTTGATGCATACTTCTTCCTACGCTATCTGCGCATGCTTCTGAAGATCTTCCTTCCTCTGGGCCTCGTGATATTACCTGTTCTACTCCCAATAAACCGTGCTGGTGGCAAGGGCCAGACATACGAAAATGGTACCTCGGGCACTAGATATTCCGTCACTGGTCTGGACCAGCTGGCATGGGGTAACGTAACCCCTGAGCACACGAGTCGGTACTGGGCTCATTTGGTAATGGCCGTGATTGCCATTATCTATGTCTGTGCTGTGTTTTTTGATGAACTTCGGAATTACATTCGCCTGCGACAGGCCTACTTGACGTCTCCCCAGCATCGACTCCGTGCTTCTGCTACCACTGTGCTCGTTACTTCTATTCCACCTGATTGGCTCACCATGGATGCCCTTGACAGGCTTTTCGATGTTTTCCCTGGAGGCGTGCGAAACATTTGGCTCAACCGCAACTTCGACGACTTGAACGAGAAAGTGAAAGCACGAAACCATCTTGCTCTCAAGCTTGAAAGCGCCGAGACAGAATTGATTGCAAAATGCAAAAAGGCACAGCTCAAAAATGCCAAGGCGGAGGCAAAGAAGGCCGGCGAGAGTCAATCAAGTGCAGAGAAAAAAGAGCAAAAGGCGGCTGAAAAACGGGCATCTCAAATGGCTATGGGTCCTGGTATCAGCTCTGGTAATCCTCATCAGGCCCATACAGTACAAGAAATGCTCCACAGAAAACCCCAAGAGAAACGGTCGGAGGACGGACCTCGAATGTTTGACCCTGCCCTTGCCGCCGCCGGGGCGGTTGGCCAAGGGGTAGGGAAACTGGGCAAAACAGTGCTTGGAGGCTTCAAGAAACCGTTATCTCGAACTGGGGGCTTCGTTGCAACTACAGATAACATCATTCCGCCTCGTTCAAATACCCCCTCAGGTCCCGGTCATTCTGCAACTCCAGACATCCTTCCGCCTCGTGCAAACACCCCTCCAGTCCCAGGTCTTCTTGCCTCTGGCAGCCAATCTGATACAAAACTCGCCAAACCCGTGGGGCTCCGGCGAAGTCAGCACATGAGTTTGAACTTAGGGAAGCCCATAGGACCGGATCCAGGACAGAATACAGACCAGGATGCCACCATGTGCAGCGATCCGCCGAAGCCACCATTCTGGAGACGAATGTCATCTCATACAAAATCGCAGGGTGTACGCGAGGCTGACCAATATCCACTGACTGCACCCGAAACGCCTGCAACTCATGCCACCCATCGTGACTTCGAGAAATCCGAGAACGAAAAACACGAGCATGCTCGAAAGGAGGGAGACGAAATAGAAGGGGAAAGATACCCTATCGCCTATAACGAAAATTTCGAAAATGAAGACTACGGAGAGCCGCTGTGGAAAGAATACATCCGGCCGAAGGACCGAGATACCATGCGTCTACCCATATTTGGCTGGAGTTGGATGCCTTCGATCTGGCTTTTAGGGGAAAAGGTTGACACCATCGATTATTGTCGAAAGGAGCTCGCTCGTCTGAATCTGGAGATCGAAGTCGATCAACAGCACCCCGAGGGGTTCCCTTTAATGAACTCGGCCTTCATCCAGTTCAATCACCAAGTCGCTGCCCACATGGCCTGTCAAGCTGTCAGTCACCATCTCCCCAAGCAGATGGCACCCCGAGTCGTGGAAATATCTCCCGATGATGTGATTTGGGATAATATGTCGATCAAGTGGTGGGAACGGTACCTGCGTTCCTTCGGCATCATCACACTAGTTTGCGCAATGGTCGTTGGGTGGGCGTTCCCCGTCGCCTTCACCGGACTACTATCACAATTGGCATACCTGGAGGGTGCATTTCCATGGCTTGCCTGGCTTGGCAAGCTTCCAGACTGGTTCATTTCTGCCATCCAGGGTATTCTTCCTGCGCTGTGTTTAGCTATTTTGATGGCGCTGCTCCCTCTCATCCTTCGCTTTTTGAGCCGCACGCAAGGCCTCTTCACCGGCATGTCCATCGAGCTCACTGTCCAGAACTATTATTTTGCATTCCTCTTTGTGCAATTGTTCTTGGTTGTCACCATCGCTTCCAGTTTCTCGACGATCATTGAGAATGTCACTGATGTAACCAGCTGGCCACAACTCCTAGCAGTGAACATCCCGAAGTCTAGTAACTACTTCTTCTCTTACATGATTCTACAAGCCATGTCTGTGAGTGCTGGCGCCCTTGTACAAATCTTTGGCCTGGTGAGCTGGTTCATTCTAGCTCCAATTTTGGACTCTACTGCCCGGAAGAAGTGGGCACGAACAACAAACCTCAATCAGATGCAATGGGGTACATTCTTCCCTGTCTATACCACCCTAGCCTCTATTGGTAAGTCGTCTCGTCTTTTTTGATAGAATCCGTTGACTAAATTCTCCAAGGTTTGATCTACTGTGTGATCGCACCTCTGATTCTAATTTTCAACATCATCACCTTCGGCCTGTTCTGGTTCGTCTATCGCTACAACACACTCTATGTGACTAAGTTTCGATTTGACACCGGTGGCCTTCTTTTCCCTCGAGCTATTAATCAGCTATTCACGGGAATCTACGTTATGGAAGTCTGCCTAATCGGCTTGTTCTTCTTGGTTCGGAACGCGGATGACGATGTCGCCTGCAAGGGACAGGCTATTTGCATGATTGTTGTTCTAGTTTTGACGGCCGGTTACCAAATTCTTCTCAACGATGCGTTCAATCCACTGATCCGGTATCTGCCCATTACCTTGGAAGATGATGCTGTTCGACGTGATGAAGAGTTTCGTCGTGCTCAGCACGCTCGCCTCGGTCTCGCTCTTGATGATGACGATGACGAGGATGGTGATATCGAAGGCTCCCTCGCTAAGCGTGAACAAGAAGAGCGCCAGCACGGAAAGGAGATAAAGGAGATGCAAGAAGACATCGAGCTGAAACCTCTGGAGACCAATTTTCCAAACCAGATGCGACAAAACTCGGATATCTTGTCAGCACCCAAGCTTGGAGACAAACGTCCATCATGGGCCTCCAGCTCATTAAACCGGAAATCTAAGTTTTTCGGTCAGAACTCAGCAACCTCCACACCGACACTACGTGATATGCGGGAAAAGATGGCCCAAGACACCGAGGCCCAGGCACCAGCCCCCAGCACAGTCGGCCAAGCCCTCTTTGCCGGTATTCACGACGAATTAGAGGATCTTACGCCCGATGAGCGTGACCAGCTGGTACAACGTGCCTTCCAGCACGAGGCCCTTCGCGCCAAGCGGCCTGTCATCTGGATTCCGCGTGATGATCTGGGTGTGAGTGACGACGAAGTGTACCGAACACAACGGTTTAGCAAACATATCTGGATCAGCAATGAGTACCAGGCGCTAGACGGCAAGTGTCGGACGATCTTCAGTCGCAGTCCTCCAGATTTCTCGGAGGTGGATTTGATTCAGCTGTGATAACATTTGTACATTGTTCCTTCAGCCATTATGTAGCATTTTAAAGCGTCGTATTCAGTCATAGACATCCAATGTCCTTTTTTTAAATATCCTTTCCATGAAATCATCCAAGATCTCCCTTAATCCATGAATTTGCACAGGGGCAATCTATAATTATCCACAACCCAGTAAGCCCGGCGTACACCCTCCCATTCACCGTCTAACTTGGGCACGGCAATCTCCTCCCACTGCACATCAAAGCCAGCTTCGAAGAGATCCATCTCCGCCACCTTCTGGTAGACATCATATGAGATCTGGCGATCAGCACCCATACCATTAAAGAATCCCCACCGACCCTCCTGCTCCAGCAATCCAATGACCTGCTCAGAGAAGAAGTCCCGGAAATCACTATATGACTCCGCAAAGGTATCGTAGTAGATAGCATCGAACGTCTCCCCAGCCGCCACAAGGTCAGGAAGAATATCCTGCCAGCGACCCTGGTGGATAACAACACCGGGCTTAGTATCCCACCCGCGTCGCTTCATCTCTGCAACGACCTCCTCGTGCGCTTCGACAATGTGATGCACAGCCGGCCCTTGCTCCTGGAAGAATCCGTCCACAATGCCCATCCCGTGACCGATGTTTAGGACTTTCAGGCCGGGCGTCGGGAGCAGTGCTATCGCGGACTTGCGCATAATGTCGCTTTCCCAGCGCATCATCACGCCGTTCTGGTCTGCGTCCAGGATCCGGTCGTTTTGGATGTTCAGGCGCGATTCAAGATATTGCGAGTTGGATACTTCGGGGTTGGCCGGGGTGGTTGTAGTTGTGGTTGTGGTTTCTGTCGTGGGTTCGGCGGATGCATCGACGAGTTCCGGTGCTGTCTCAGCCTCGGTCTCGCCTTCCTCTTCCTCTTCGTCATCATCGGATAGCTCTTCGTACGCGTCGAGGCGGTTCATCAACAACTCTGCGCGGACACCTGCGTCGACGATCAGCTCGTACAGCTCGAGAGCGCCAATGCGGCCCGCGATACAGCCGGGTGTCTCGTTGTTCGCGTCTAGATCGTTCCAGATAGCGCCCTCCTGCAGGAGAAACTTGACAGTCTCCACTGCTGATTTCACGGTCTCGGCATCCAGATCATTCGGATTGGAGTCTGAGCCATTGATGCTGACTGCCTCTGTATCGGGCTCGCAGGCGGCGATTGCGGCGTGCAGAGGTGTGAAGCCGGTCTCGGTGTCTTTAACGTTTGCAGCATCTGGCAGCACAGACTGGGTGCGGAGGAGGCGGCGCAGCTTGGACTGGTCATGCTGCGAAGCGGCGAGGAGAATCTCTTGCACGTCAAGGTCGATGTCGACCTCGGTGAGGTGCACTGGGGTATCGTCGGTGACTTCGGGCATGCTCTAAGGGCTGTTAGCGGGGTTTTGCGAAGAGTAATTCCAAAAAGAAAAAAAAAACTCGTTGAGCTGGTTTTTCCAACTGATACTCACGAATTAAAGATGATACTTGCTAGTCAATGCTAGTCAAGTGTGTTGAACTACCGAAGTGGTGCCCCTCCGAATCTGAAAAATCGTCTCGCCGCCTTTGTCCCCGCATCCTACCTAGAGGTCTACACTACTTGCAAAGAATTACTATGTTTCAAGGAGACTTGGAAAGAAAATAGAGAAGAGACCGCATTCAGATGCTTGGTAATCCAGCTATTTGTACAATAATTCACATCCCTCCACGCAGCGCCATTAAGTATCAAGCGGAATGAAATTATTTGCCCTCTTCGCTGTGAGCGTTGACATTGAGACCCAATCCTTGGCTGTCCAGGTAGAGCTTGTTCTTGCCACCGCTGTCGTGCAGGATCTGAGCAATTTGGCGAGCATTCTCGATCTGTCGGAGCTCGATGTAACTCTTGCTCTTCTTGATGGCATCACCAATAAGCTCGGCGGAGCGGGCCTCACCCTGTGCGCGGACAATGAAGGCCTGCTTTTCTTGGCGGGCCTTGTCGACCATGAATGCAGCACGCTGAGCGTCTTGCTGTGCGACCTGCTTGGCCTCAACCGCGGCTGTGAACTCGGGGGAGAAGGTCAAGTGCTGTGTGGAGATGGCGTGTTAGAAGCTGTTTGGGCTGGAGGTAGGGGAGGAGGTACATACTGTCAAAGACACATCATCTAGAGCAATGTTGAAACGGGCAGCTCGGCGAGCCAGGTTGTCCCGCACCAGACGAGCAACATTCTCACGCTGTGTGATCAACTGGCTGGCGTTGAATTGAGCAACAACGCTCTTCAGCACTTCGTTGACGATTGAAGGCAGAACCCGCTCATCGAAGTCTTGTCCAAGAGTTCGATATATCTGGGGCAGAGCATCGACACGGGGTCTAGATAGGACACGGCAGGTGATGTTCACCATCTGCAAGTCCTTCGTACCGGTGAGAGAAGGGATGCTGCGAGGTTTCGCACGAACATCGTAGATAATTGGGGTCTCGAACCAAGGAATTTGGAAGTGCGTTCCTAAGGTCATCCAAATGTGAGAGAGAGCTCCGTGTCTGGCTCGTGGGGTTTCATACCTTCGTTGTAGATTTCCTTCTGGACACCACCGAAGCGCGAGTACTTGATAGCACGGTGACCACCGTCCACTAAAAACTAGTTAGAAATTTGATTCCTTGAGCAGATGACTTTAACATACCGTTAAACAGAGCATTTGACGCGACATAGGTACCAATACCGGCCAGAACGAGAGTTCCGACGAGTCCCATGCCTCCGCGGCCACCACCGGATGGGATGCCGCCACCGAAGCCAGCCTTACGCTTCGACAGCATAAGCTGCAGGCGCTCCCAAGCCTCCCGTTGATTTTGAGACATGATGTGAGTAAGTGCGCGGAAAAGATTGGAGTAGATGAAGACTGACTTGGTATGATGCTTGAGCGGATGAGGTGAGGTTTCGGGCGGTGGGGGAAAGTCGGGCAGAATCAGCGTTTCTTGCTTGCCTCGACTTCTTCGCTTTCTCACTGGCATCTCATTTCCTATCGCAATCATGGCGCCCGATCGGACTGGGAAGAGCGTGTTCCTGGGGAATATTCCCTACAGTATGTAACCGTAGCTGCATGTCTAACCTGCGCGATACTGATCGTTCTCTAGACCTCACCGAGGAACAAGTCAAAGACATCCTCAGCACGGCCGGTACCGTTACAAAGTTCCGGTTGATGATGAATCCTGAGACCGGCAAGCCCAAAGGATATGGATTCGCAGATTTTGCAGACGCCGACGCCGCTGCCTCGGCGGTGCGCAACCTCAACGATCACGAAGTCATGGGCCGCAAGATCCGTGTTGATTGGCCTCACAACAACGAGAAAGATTCCGTACCCCCAGATTACTCGCAGCAGTCGCAACCAATGGTGAACCAAGATACCACACAGCAGCAACAAATCACAGGCTCAGCGCCACTGCCTCCTCTACCCCCAGGCGTGGAACTCCCGCCTCAGATCGACTGCCCCAACGCCATCTCCCATACTCTCGCATCCCTCCCACCAAATCAATTGCTCGATGTCTTGACACAAATGAAATCTCTTGCGGTTGCCGACCCAGCACGTGCCACTGAGCTGCTGCGCCAAGCGCCTCAGCTCGCCTACGCCGTCTTCCAGGCTCTACTCCTCATGAATCTGGTCGAATACCAGCTGCTTGGTTCTATCGTCGAACAGGCCGCCCAGCCCCCCCAAGTGGCTCAACAGCCAACCCCTCAACAATTTCAACAGTATGGTGTTCCTGGTCAGATCTCTACACCGCCTGTCACCGGCACTCCTTTCGCGCCTCCCCCGATTCAACCTGCCGCCCCGATGCACGGCCAGGAGGAACTCCTTCAGCAAGTCCTCAGCATGCCCCAGGCTGCTATTGATGCTCTGCCTCCCATGGAAAGAAGCCAGATCATGCTGCTACGCCAGCAATTGATGCAGGGTGGCATGCGGTAGGGTATTACCCTCTCTTGATACTGCATTTCGATTCAGATATTTTGTGGCTTGCTCGTCGAGAACGAGCATGACATGGCCAATATTTTTTTTCTCATTTTCTTATGCCACTGTACTAGGCGAATGGGTGGCGTAAAGGGGTTGTCATTTTTCCTCATTGATTTGCATACCGGGTCAATTTCAAGGTCTGCCTTCAAAATAGTAACAGAATGATATCTTGATTCTTTCAGTCCTTCGTTTCTACAATCAACGTTAAACTTGCCTTCCCTTTGGAGTGTTTATCTATGCCTTAACCCGTGGATATGTTTGGCGCGTTTGTCGGTGACGGAGAAAGCCTCTAGGGTTACCTCACCATTTGTGGGATTGCCTAAGCTGCATGGTGAAATATAGAATTAATATTATCTAGACATTCTCTCGCAATGGCTGTCAGCTGTCTTATAGTGATGTTTCAGCAAATCCTATCTGTGCACATGATTTCAATGTTCGGTGGATAACTGCCAACCCATCAATTAACCACTACTCACGTTCGAGACCGGCATAATAATCCGTAATCTCGATTGCAATACCTACAGCAGAGAAGGCATTGATATCAATATTTGAGTATAATAGAGGTGTATGAGCTCATTGACACCCCGGTGCCTATAACCATTTGCCATAACATCTCCATTGCCTATACCATAGGCTCATTCTGTGTCACTTAAGATACTTCAAAGAAGGGACACAATAGGAAACTAGCATATCTCGTCCTAAGAAAGCAGAAAGTTGGCCGACAAGTGATGGTACCTATGTACTGTTATTTGAAGCTCTTGCTTGTCGGTCTATATATTATAGCTTCCACCAAGAGATACATTGGCTTCTGCTTTAAAAATAATGTCCGTTAATAACGTCTAGACCGTTCTCATTATATCCACAAGAAGCATGTAGTTATCGGCATAGTACATGAACTCAGTAAAGACAGCAATAGTTCACTTTTTAGCTTTAGTCTTTGATTGGGGCTTGATCTCCATATCAATTACTAAACCATTTGGATTGCGGTAACATTAGTTTAATGGCGGTTGATATTCTGATAGTACAGAACAGGCCAATGATAAATGGCGTGCAAAGGCTACCCTCACACAACCATTGAGAGTACTGCCTAGGTGGAATAGATGTATTCGTCAGTGCCAGCGTCTCTCTAACTCCGCATGGAGATGAGTCGCCGTCACATGCAGTTACCTAATTAGTTCGAGCATGGCTTGGTTGTTGTCTTGCAGTAGTATATCTCAGCGCAGGTGTACCTCTCAGCGTAGGTTGATCCAGGTCGCCGTCACATGCTGTCGTGCTGAGTCGAGCGAGAGCTACCGGAATCCCTGGTGCGGTCGTGGGTAGAGCTCACCGTCGCATAAAACGGGGGTAGCTCGATCGTTGTCTCGGCGTCGCGCAGTGTTTTTCTATCTCGTTTTCTCTTTGGCTCTTCTTCTTCTTCTAGTCGTCTCCCTTTCACCTTTCCACACGATCATCGCTCCATCCATCATTTTGCATATTTGCAGTTTGCTTCGTGCCTGAACCGGTAACCAAGGCCATTACTGTAACTGTCTCGGTTTCCAGGCTTTTTTTCAGCGTGTTTCTTCTTGTCTGGTTTGCCAGTATTATCTGATATCCCGACCACCTCAAAGTTCTCAGCCCCTACAACGCACATCATGGTGTCGAAGGGAATTTCTCAGCAGCAGTCGGGGGATGGTTTGGCAATGGATAATCAGGAGCCTAGTGCCGGGGCCGATGAGATTCCTGAGCTGCGGCGGGGACGCATGATCCCTTCGGGTCGGTATCTAGCCAATAACCTCCCCCCTCTGCATACGCTGAGAGAAATTTTTGCTGACATGGCATCAAAGGCCATGGAAATTGGATTCGAGCAAGTCCTCATTCGGCTCGGCAGTCGACCACTTCGAGTGGCGACAATGTGCTCAGGAACCGAAGCCCCGCTTCTAGCCCTGGAATTGATACAGACGGGTAAGTGCAGGCAGTGCAGCATCTCGTTTTTCTTTTCTTTCCCATTTCCCCCAGTCGGTCGTTTGTTGTCTTCGTGTTGAGGTTCATGTTGTAGCTGGTTCCATGGTTGAGGTATTGTCCCGACTTCTAAGTCACATGTTTCCTTCCTTGCCCTAACTTTGCCTTAACCTCGCCCTGACTTCCATGACATGATCGCTTTGCCTGGCATTGATTTCCATCTCATTCCAGTGACTCCGTCTGACCTCTCTCACTCTCTGCGTGGTGCTTCTTGGAATATGACCATGGAGCAATTGCTAATTTTACCTTGATAGGTTTGCCGGAGGCCCAGCAACTTCGGATCTTGCACGCTTTCAGCTGTGAGATTGTTCCATTCAAGCAATCGTACATTGAGCGGAACTTCTGCCCCCCTCTCCTATTTCGGGACATCACCGAACTTGGAGGAGACGAGGCGTAAGTACCCCATCCATCTTCCTCTGACATGACTCTCATACTGACTTTGATTTTCAAGGCGGACCGCCTACGGGTCATTAGAAGCAATTCCCGGTAACCTCGACATATTAGTTGCTGGAACTGCCTGTGTCGACTTCTCTCCGTTGAACAACCGCCAGAAGACGCTGCAGCAAGGCGGCGAGTCGGGAGCTACGTTCGACGGTCTCTTGCGGTACGCGAAGAGATATCGACCCCGCATGATCGTTCAGGAGAATGTCCGGAATGCGCCCTGGGAGCAGATGAAGGGGAAGTGGGAGGAGCTCGGGTACATGTCCGTTTGTGTCAATGTCGACACGAAGCATTACTACATCCCGCAGACACGCGAGCGCGGGTACATGGTGGTTATTGACAAGCACCGCTTGGAAGCAGCGGGCCTACTTGGAGACACCATGGATCAAAGTGGCATTGAAATTGTCACTCAACGCGTTCGTGAGCTTGCTGATCGTTTCAAACGGCCAGCGAGTGCACCGGTGGGGTTGTTCTTGCTGAGTGATGACGATCGCCGACTCGAGCTCATCGAGATGAGAGCCCGCCTTGAGTCCCGAAGCGAAACCAGCTGGGATCAGTACCAGATTCGTCACCAACGGCACCGTGACGAACTGGAACTAGGTAGCGAGAGGCCAATCACTCGATCCCTTCCCGGGATCAATGAACTGAAGACACCGGACTTCTATTGGAATCGTTTCTGGAAGACACAGTCGGAGAGAGTGTGGGAGACCGTGGATATGAATTTCCTGAAGAAGATGCTTCAAGATTATGACATGAACTTCAAGGAGTAAGTTTACTCAATCTTCACTTCAGGAATATTATACTAACAATTCACTTCATAGGCGTTGGATCGACTTATCTCAGGGCGTCGATCGAGGGAATGACAGCCTTGCCGCTTCTGGGATCGCGGGGTGTCTGACGCCAAAGGGCATGCCATTTGTGACAACCCGCGGGGGCCCCGTATCTGGCACGGAGGCTCTTTCGTTGCAAGGACTGCCCCTCGATCGAATGTTACTCACGAGAGAAACCCAAGCCGATTTGATGGATATGGCAGGAAATGCAATGACGAGTACGGTAGTGTGTGCAATCATGCTGGCTGGTCTGATAGCCGTGCATGAGATTCTTGACGACGGTGAGGAATGTTCAACAAACTCTGGTGAGGCGGAGGCCAAGTCCCTTCTCGTGCCCAGCGAGGCCCATAGCCTTGTGAGAAGTAACCTCCAAATCGTCCAAACACCTCTTATCGACCATGCTGTTCTCAAAGTCAAGGCAGCGAGCAGCGTTCTGTGCTGCTCCTGCGAGAGACAGACTCGGGTCCAAGATTCAATTTATAGTTGCACACTGTGCGGACATACCGCTTGCAAATCCTGTCGTGGAAACCCCACGCATTCATATCTACATGTTTCCCTACTTTCTCGACAAAAGCCGTCTGAATTCATAGCGAATTTGAAGGCGCTTGTTCCGATGAAGCTTATGCTGTCTGATCTGTCCGACTTGGGTTTTGAGATGTTTAGATCCCTTTACCACATCACCAACCTCCCCCAGTTTTGGCCCGACTTCATTATGTGCGTCAAGGCGGCTGTGCACGATGTCTTTCGATTTTTTGAGATTAAGCGAGGAAGAAAATGGCGAGTGGTTTATGACGGCACGCATTCCAGCTTGTACCTTGATATCGGTCCGGACTCCTTCCAGTGGCTGTTGTACGCGAAGCCCCCCAAGTCCGCGAGTAGGAGAAGCGTCATCCGGGAAGTGCTAGCCAAGCCAATTGCCAGAATGAGTCCAACTTCTGGGTCGCTTGTCGAGGGTACATGGGAAATTTGCTCACCCATTAGCACCCCAATTTTACTTCAGATTTCTGGCAGAGGACACCAAGTTCGATCATTCCAATCGGAGTGTGGTATTAAAGCCGCTAAATTTGTTGATGGAAAAGTCTGGGACAGTATTTTCGTTGAAGGATCAGATCAAAACGTCGCAGCTCTGGATTTCGACGTCCGAGGAATGTACCAATTCCTCCCTGATTGTGGAACAGCCCTTGGTGCATTGTACAGAAGAAAAGCTACCGCCCATGCACCCCGAATTTTCCTATTCCTTGACCCAGCAAAGATTGGACCAGCAGACGAAGATGCCTGTGTATTCGCTCTTGAACACGACCGCCTTCCTGGATATGATGTGAGAATGACGATCGCCGAGTTATCTTCAAATTGGACATCATTGAATGTCACCATGGATTCGCAAGATGTGAAAGCTTTCTGTCGTCGATGGGCCAAGGCCCCCAAGGCACATCTGAACCAATGTCCTGCCGAGCAGATTACCCTCCACACATTGCAACAAGGAATCCAAGTCTCGATTGAAAAGCAGAACTGTCATGATGCTTGTATTACTCTCACCTCGCTGTCAGCAACGACATCGATTCTCAACCTACCTGACGCAAATTCCGATTGGCAAGCCTGGAATCCAGAGGTCTCTATGAGAGAATTGAAAGGTCTCGCCTGGTTGTTCCCGAAGATTGCTGCGTGGTCCGACTTTGAAGACTGGAACGAAATCATCCTCCCAGACTGTTCAGACCTCAAACATCATGCAAATGGCAATTGCAACACCTGCAACCCACCCACCCCTAGTATCCTTTGGGGCCGGGACAACAGAGATCGAATCATCCCATACGAGAATCCCCAGGACGCTGCCGTCTACGAGCGTGCCATCAAAAACCGACCCTCGCCATTTTTGGTCTTCAGACGAATCAACGAACATGGAGATGCTGAACTGCGTTTCACTCTCAATGTGCAAGCTTTGACCCATCAGGCACATGGTAAATTGTTTGGTACCGCAAGCCGTGAGGGAGTAACATCTTTCTGGCGACTTCTCCCTCATGCGTACGACATGAGTCAAGAAACCCCTGGCATTTTTACTTTGAGGAGCAACGACAACGATAGTCTTTCGCCACAACCTCCCAATTTCAAATTCAAGCTTCGTGATGAACAGCTTCGATCACTGAGCTGGATGATTGCACAAGAAGCAAAAGAGATGGAACCATTCATGGAAGAGGAAGTTGAAGAATCCATCCTCCCCTTAATGCCTTGGCGTGCCGAAGTCAAAGCGACAATGCCAAATGTTGTTCGCGGTGGCGTGCTAGCCGACGAAGTCGGATACGGTAAGACGGCTGTTATTCTTGGTCTTATTGACGCGCAGTATGAAAGCGACTGCAAACCCCCTGAAGAGAACGGGCTGATTTCAACCAAAGCAACACTGATCATCGTGCCCAGCAACGTCTTCAAGCAGTGGGTTTCGGAAACCAAGAAGTTCCTTGGAGGAAAATACAAAGTTTTGGCAATATCCTCGATCAGCAAGATCACCATTCGGGAAGTCGAAGATGCAGATATCGTGATTTTGTCATGGAGTATTCTGGCGAACGATGCATACTACAGTCGACTTCAACAATTTACCGGAACACCCCAAGCTCCCGCAAAATCTAGAGGAGGAACAGGTCGAAATTTCGATAGCTGGTTTCACAACGCCCGTGCTTCCTTACGGGAGTTTGTTGACATATTGAAAACACAAGGGTCTGAGGCAATACTCCAGCAATTGGAAGCCAGGCGTCGCCAAGTTCAAGAAACACAGGCCGACTTTACTTACGTGCCCTCTCGACGCCTGCGTGGCCAGGCATTTGCTGATGCTAATAATAGTCGTGACGAATGCAATGTAGGAGAAGAAGGGGATTTGGATTCTGAGTCTGACTCGGGTTTCGAGGACTTTGGCGCATCTGATGCGAGACAGTCTACCGAAGCGGGCCAGCGCAAGCGGAGGCATAGTAGGAAGTCAGTGGAAGGTCCAGGAGGAAAGCGACAAAAACACTCATTGACAGACCTGACCGAAGTGACCGATGACGGAAAGAGACTTGGAGCCAAATCAACTGCCGTGAAAGATGACCGCAAAGATTTTGATATCAATAAGACTGCCGAACACGACTGGCGCACTGTCAAAGCCGCATTTATTCACGCTTTCAACTTCAACCGTTTGGTAATCGACGAATATACATATGCCGGGGATGAAAGACAGGCTTCTCTGCTCTCATTGCAGGCACGCTCTAAATGGATCCTTTCTGGAACGCCAGCTCTTCGTGAATTTGCCGATATTAAGAGTGTTGCGCGTTACCTTGGCTTGCACCTTGGTGTGGACGACGATGGCGATTGCGACAAGCCGACGCAGAACAGCAGACTACGAAACATCCGGAAGAACCACACAGCTGTTGAGGCATTCCAATATTACCAGGCCCCCCACAGCAACGCCTGGTACCAAAACCGCCGAGAGCATGCCCAAAACTTCCTTGACCGATTTGCGCGTCAGAACATCGCACGCATCACACATATCCCGTTGAAGACAAACTTTGTCGTCACCGAACAGTCGCCTGCTGAAAAGACAGCGTACGATACATTGTTGCGAGCTGTCAAGGAAAATAAGAGACGGATTCCTGGCCCCTTGAGCACCATTTTGTCCAAGAGCCAGGTCCCCCAAGAGGCTCTCATCATGTCCTGCGTCACAAGTCAAATCGGACAACCTCCATGGAACCTCGAGAAGTGCCGAAAAGGCTCGCAGAATGACAAAAAGAAATCCGCTGAGATCTGGACTAAAGTGGACTCGATCACTCGACAGGCAGCGATTGTTTGGTATCGCGAATTGAAAAATACCGATCCCAACAACTGGCAAAAGGCCCTGAATGGCGTCGCCAAGATTGATTTTGGGGACGCGGAACTCAACAAAAGATTCAAACAGCTCTTAGAGGACATCATCCGCTCATACAGTGAGTGGAAACTCGCCGAACAACACCAGCCAATTGAAGATTTGCTCCAACAGCGATTCCAAAAGATACAGAATTCGAAGACTGGCAACAAAGCGACCGGAAAGCGTCCTCCTAGAGCCACAGAATATGGAAAACCCATGGATGCGTTTTCCAATTCGGTTTGGATCGCTGTCGAAAAAGCCTTGTCCGCTGATGTCACCTCTCTCTTGAAACAGGTCCTCGAGATTGACCGGGAATACCGATTCTACGAACATCTAGTGAGGATCCAAACCATTGGAATTCCACCATGTCAAAAATGTAATGGCGACTTGCAAGAAAAAGAAGACGTCAACGTCCTCAAAACCTGCGGTCATGTCCTCTGCAAAGATTGTATTGCCGCCGGATCACGCAAACCCTGCCCTATCATTGGATGCGGCGGCCAAATTGTCCAATCCAAGATCGTGCCCGGTGAAATCCTTGTCAGCGAAGACCAAGAAATCCAGAGCACCAAGCTCAACAAGCTAGTTGAGATCGTCCGCAATGTCCCAGAGGAAGAGCTTGTCCTCATCTTTGTGCAAATCAATCATCTGTTACCTGTGGTATCGAATGCCCTCAAAGCTGTGAACATCGACCACCGCATGGTCACACAGACTAACTTGAAGGGAATCGAGGAGTTCACTGAGGCTCCGAAACTAAAAAAGGGCATGACGCAACCACCTTCCAGACCGAAGGCTTTGATCTTGAATCTCGGAAACTCCATGGCAGCTGGATTGTAAGTCATTTCTCTCTGCTATTATCCGTTATTCTTGTTTGAAACATTACTAATATGATCCGATTAAAGGAATCTCCAATGCGCAAACCACGTTATCTTCTTGTCGCCATATTTCGCCCCCTCTGACCATGACTTTGAGGCGGGCATGACCCAGGCAATCGGACGTGTACGGCGATTCGGACAGGAGCGCGAGGTCCATGTCTATCATTTGCTGGTGAAGAACACATACGAAGTCAACATCTTCCAGAAGGCTCAATCAAGCAAACTCGTTGAGCGTCAAGGTGTCCACGTTTTGGTTCCCGAAGAAGAAGTATTACCAAACGACATCGGATGCGAAGGGGAGGAGATGCCAGAGTAGGATGGCCTCGAGGCCACTTGTGCGGTTGGATTTTATGCCGGTTGCTATGACTGTCATGATGGCGCTTTTTTTTGCCCATGTTAAGAACTCGTGGTGAACAAGGGACACGGGTGGTTTGCTTCCTTCATACATACATCTCATGTAAAAGTAATGAAATCGTGCAACAAAATGGTGTGCACAGATAGTCTATCTAAATCTCACCTGCTGTGTGAATTATGAATTATTGCCCCGTCTGCCAAGAAAGAATGTTGTGGATTAGAGCACATGTTATGAAACATGATTTCATAAACTAGCTCGGCGGCTAGATAAACATGAGCAACGTATAGCCCGGTAGGGAGTTGAGCGTTTTGATAAAGACAGATTTATATATTAGCCCTAACTCAGCCAGCGGAGGTCGAGGGTGGATATCTCAATATGATGCCATGCAATGCAATAAATTCTCATACAACTAACTAGCAGGAACCAACAATATCTTGCACACGTACTCACCCATCTACGAGCTCAATAGCTAGTGTAAAAGAGGAAATGGAAAAAAAATCTGCGATTTGGTCCTGCCGATATTCCACAGTGACTGGGCCTGATCTGCATCCGGGCTCCGATCACTTCAATAAGAACCAGGAACAAACGTACTGTACATGGTATGATGTAGACAGAAAAAAAAATTCGGACGCCTCAAGAGTGATTATGATTCAGGGCGCCTCGGGGCGAAGGGCGCAGTGGCCTCTAATCATTCCCCAAGTTGACCGTAGTGTGACCGCAATGCCCTATGGCGGTTTTGCGTGTCCATTCGAAAAAAGCACAACCATTATAATATCCTCCCCATCCGGAATTGACCCACGGCAATGAAGAGCTCTTTTTAATAATTCTTCTTCTTTGTGCTTTTCTATTGCTTGGGCGCGGCGTCCAATGCATTGTCCTTGCGCATCATCGTCTCTGGGTGCCACACAGGCACGTCCGTCAAGTTGGTCAAGCCGGCGCTATTCTCACAGCTATGGCGGCCACTCACCGGGCCTGGGGTGGGAATCTTAGTGGCGGCACCGGTTGCGGTGGCAGAGTCCTTGAGGGCTGTCAGGATGTTCTTGATGGACTCCGGAGTCAGATCCTCGTAGTAGTCATCGTTAATCTGGACCATGGGAGCGTTGACGCAAGCGCCCAGGCATTCGACCTCGATGTATGTGAAGAGGCCATCCTCGGTGGTGTGGCCGGGGCTGATCCCGAGGTGTTCGGTAATGGCCTTGACAATGGCGGTACTACCGCAGCCGCCGAGCTGGCATGGGGTCTGGAGGATTGCGAATTAGGAATAGCAGGAAATAGTGTTGATTTCATGTGCTTACGGTGGTGCAGATCTGCACAAAGTACTTGCCAACAGGCTCGCGATTGTACATGGTGTAGAAGGTCGCAACCTCGTAAACGCGCATTGGGGGCATCTCGAGCATGCGAGCGACTTCGTTCATGACGCTGATGCTGGTAAAGCCGTGTTGGCGCTGGCCGAGATCAAGCAGGGGCATGACAGCAGCCTTCTTGTACTGCGGAGGGTAGCGTTTGAGGATCTCATCGGCGAGTGTGAGGTTCTGCTCGGAAAACTTGAACGGGAGGGTCGGGTTGTTGTTGGGTTTGTTGCGATGCTATTAGAGACAACAATAGTCAGTATATGAGTCTTTGATTCCCCAACCCTGCGGCATAATCGGCGCCTGAAGCATAAGAGGGGTGGAACGGAATACGCACCACCGAAAGGGATTCGCTGAACCGTTGCGAACCGGCGGAGAAGGCTCTGTATTGAGATTTGGGGAGCTGGTGAACCAACTGGCGGCCGACCCGCGGGACGGAGAAGAGTTTAGAGGCCATCACGGGCGATAAGTGAGGGTCAATTGGGGGGAGATGAGGTTGGAGGTTGGAGGAGAAGTCAAGTTGACGAGGCGTTTTACTCGGGGCGGGCCCTGGGCAAATCAGCATCCAGGGATTACTACCGCCTTACCAATCCGTTATCATACAATTGCTCTTCGAAGACAGCCAACACAACGCTCATGTTTTGAGACAACGATACTCTCGAACTGTTTTATTGGACTCGAAATTCCTTGAAATATACTTGTGAAACTGATCATTGCAGAACTAGATAACTATCGTCCCAGTCGCATCACATTATTGCGCCGTGTTCCACCAACCACATCTTGAGTCCCGCAACTAGACGTTCTCCATCTTATAAACCTCATACGCAACCTCCTCATATGGATGCACCAGGATCAAAGCATCGACTGCATTCAGCATAACGCCCCGACCAAGACACATAATCTCAACTCTGACCTCCTCGCACCGTTCCAAAGCACCGACAGCCCCGACCGCCGGGTCTGCGCCCTCATTGGGCAGAAATTGGCCTGTGCCAACAGTTTGAAAACAGCATTTGGTGTATTTCCCACCTGGGAATGACCCTGCACCTGTGGCGAAGATGGCTTCTTTACAGTGCTCCACGTTGGCAGTCGGGACGAAAAAGACGAGCTTGTAGCGGTCTGGAGTGGAGGTGGACATTTTGTGTTTTGAGTGTATATTGCTCTGTCTGTGGCTTCGTTTGAAGATATTAAGTAGTCGTGCGCTTTGCTGCGGGGTTGTTCCTGGGTTGATTCCTGCGAAACACGATGCGAGCCGCAGGGTATATGGTATCTGGGATCGTAGTAGGGGTCGTAAAATAGACCTCGTGAGGCTCCAGGTACCACGGGGGATGTTTGGGGGCATGAGATACTGTTGTGCAGGGCCGACGGTCAGACAACAAGTGCAAGTGAGGAGTCGTCTATCCAGATATGGACCCATGCGGGGCCTGATTTACAAGGCATCAGTGATTATTACTCTAGACTGTCTTCCAAGGTACTCCGCTGGGAATGAGAATAAATATTTAACTTGCTATTCGCCTGGTTATTATATACTTCAGTTGAAAAATAGTATAAAGAGTGTTGAAACACAGGGTATCAGATGCACCGCCCACGCTCACGCCCACCACAGCCAACAACTCAAACAGAAACCAATACACCGACAATCCGAATTTATACAGCAATATTATGCAAAGATGTGTACTTTTCGACATGCGCCTCGATGCTGGCCAGCATCTCCACCTTGCGCGAGTCCTCAACCCAGCTCCCCTGGACACTATTCTCTGCAATGATCCTCCACTCGAGCACACTCAGGTGGAAAGCCTCCTGCACAGCGCAGTAGTTATCAAGAATATAACCACCAAAATAAGCAGGATCGTCGCTGTTAATCGAGAACTTGACTCCAGCCTCCAAGAACCGCCGAATAGGCAGCTCCTTCACAGAAGTGACACAGCGCAGCCGCACATTCGACAATGGGCAGACGGTAAGTAAGATACTCTCACGCGCAACACGCCGCATCAACTCTTCGTCTTCAACCAGCCGGATACCGTGATCAATACGCTGGGCACCAAGCTCAAGCGCCGTGCTGATATAAGTCGGATCACCTTCCTCGCCGGCATGCGCCGTGAGCGGGATATTTTTCTGTGCGGCTGACCCATAGATCTCGCGGAACATGTCTTTCGGCGGGCCGACTTCTGAAGAAGACCAACCGAGTCCACTCACAATGCCAGACTCAAAGTCCTTGTGAGCCAGGAACTCCTCGTAGACTTTCTCGGCTGACGAGACGGGGAGATGCCGCACGAAACAAAGGATTAATCCTGTGCTTAGGCCGAGCTCGGTCTCGGCGCGCTTGCACCCCTTCGAGAAGCCTGTGACGATTGTGTCGTATGGTACACCGCGGCTTTCGTGTACCTGCGGGTCGAAAAAGACCTCTGCGTGGTGGACGCCGTCTGCGTGCGCCTTTTGGAAGTATGCCCACGCTAGGTCGGCGAAGTCTTCTTCCTTGCGGAGGACGGCCATGCCTTCGAAGTAGAAGTGTAGGAAGTCGTCCAGGTTACTGAAGTGCTCATAGCGTTTCTTGAGTGTCTCAACCGAGGTATAGACTGGGTCGGTCGGCAAGGCGATACCATTGCGCGCCGCGAGCTCGAAGATGAGTTCTGGCTCAAGGGTGCCCTCCAAATGGACGTGGTGCTCACATTTAGGGAGGCCTTTGAGGAACTCGTGCAGAGGAGATTGACACATTGTTGCGGGTTGCAGTGAGTAAGGTTCCTTGGATTTGAGGATTTTCTAGGTCAATGTGGGACGAGGTATAAGCGCCGGACGAGTTTGCTTTCTCCCCCGCTGGTGTCTCAGGTTATCATGGTTCTTCATTTTCGTGACACAGCTGTCTTCTATCACTTTCTAATCCCAAAATTAAGTCTATTGATAAGCTTTTGCCCCGGAGGTCTCCGAAATTCACGTCATATGAAGATCAAGAGGACCCAGATGTCTACCAAATGGGTAAGTCCAAGAGGTTCCAATCATAATCCTCTATACATGTGCAATGAAACGTGAATGATATTTAATATTGTATGTTAAAATATATTTGAAATCTAATATTCACACTTTTCAAACCTCTATCTAAACCCTGAAAAGAAAAACCCGGACTCCATCTCCAGGGCTAAACCCGCATTTCAGCACCAGCAGCCTTCCGTAGCCTGTTCATGACAGCAGCGGCCAGATCACCCTCGCAGTCTGACACGCCTTCCACATAGATGACATCGACATTAAGCTCGTCCAACGCGCGCAGGGCGGCAAAGAGACCATGCGCGATGGAGACCGCATCTGAGCCAAGATGGTAATCGTATGCTATCTTCGTACGGCTACTGGGTTTTCCATTCTCCAGCACGGGGATTTGGATCGGGACACTGACAATGTTCTCAATGGCAGAAGACACGGGGGTCATGGTACTGGCGATGTCATCTTCTGAAGCGAGCCCCAAGCCGAGCTGCCAATTCCGCGTGCGGATAATACCAATTTTGTGTGCGCCAATGGCTGTGTCTTTCAAGTCCTTTTGGACATGCTTCATCACTCCGACTGGGTTGGATGTCGAATCGAAGAGTACAACTCGTGCTTTTGGCGAGTAGTGGCGGTACTTCATGC